TAATTTTTCTGATTATCATCTCAAAAATTTGTTTGAGTGATTGTATATGGTTAACGAGAGGCATGAAAAAACAAAAAATCTCATATTTTATAATAAACTCTTACACATACTAGCACGATTGGAACATATAAGTGTGGTGAAATGTTAAAACAGAAGAATGGCGTTGCTGGGATTCAAACCCATGATTTATAAATTATTTCACAACGATTGTTTTCTTTACCCATTGTTATAAGATGCACGCTACCTAACTTATGACCACAGACACTGATCCGCGGTCGCGCGGATCAAAACCGAGCGGATTGAAAAAATGTAGTAAAAGCGACGGTAACTCGGATGTCGATTCACAAGGATTCTTATTTATAAAATAGTCAATTAAAGAAAAGATTTGGGGGGTTGTTTTGATTAGGATTCGATAAAAAAAGAAAAAGGCACAAATAAGTGGTTTTGAAATAAGTGATTAAAAACAGGTAAATCCATCGGTTTGACTCCCAACTTATCATCAGTTATTACAATTTAATATTTTCAAATGGATTCAATCCCTATTCGATTGCAATATTGACGATAAGCGTCGACAATACCGCACAACTTCTATTCCTAATTACTGAATTAAGCAGACGGTTAAAGATTGCGCAAATTAACGAAAAAGCTAAGTTAATCTGCGATTGAGTTAAGGAATATTGATCGACCAAATTAAATCCAATTTATCTTATAATAACGAATTAATCAAACGAAATTATAAGATAATTTGGAACGAGATTAAAAGAAATAATGCACAGTTTAAATTGAATAAACCTCAAAGAATTACGGGTTCGAAACCGACGGATTTTCCCTTAGGATTAGTTCGCCATGAAAACAATAAAACAAAAGGAAATTCAGAAAATAAACTGGATTCCTAATTTGCATCACAGCAACAACTTTATAAGCACTCAACTGGGCCAGAAACCTAAACCAGACCCGAAAGGAAAAACTACATTATCACAAGTCAGAAACTTCAACAAATCATTCGAGACTCAAGAAATCCGAATCAGCTTCTACGTGCAACATGAAAGTTGTAGATCTTTTTCTTAGCTTTCCAACGACTAATAGAACATCTCGATCTGATTCCTATAGCTCCAGTTGTGAATTTTTTACTAAAAATTGCTAATGCTGAAAAATAACAAACGAAAACTAAATAAAGCTTAAAATAAAATAAATTGTAAAAACATTATAAAATAGGAAATTAAACAAACTAAACTGTAGAAATGCCTAAGTCTAAACATAGAGGAAGGTGCATTAAAATGCACTGATCAGTCACTCGTCCGTTGTGGAAACCAAAATACATACAACCACACGCTACCTAACAACGGACGTGAAACTGTTATTATATGTGTTTTGCAACCGTCATTATATGTATTTTTTGTAGTAGTGAATTTCTTAGAGAGATCCTAATAACTGGTTACTGAGAGGCAGGTGAGGTTCATAATGTTGGTATGAGCCTCAGAGACTAAAAGTTTTAATAGAACTTGGTACTTGTATCAAATTATTTATTAATACTTAAAAGGGATTTCTTTATTATGCTTCTTTTTTCAAAATAATAAAGTCTCTAGATTAGCTAGTCCGTCTAATTAAATATTAAGTATGATTTAATCATGAGATTCCATTATACATAAGGACACTATTACTAAAGTATTTGTAGTCGAGCTTTATTGTGAAGTGGAATAACAATAAAGCAATGAGAATATTAAGTGGATATACTGATGATCGCATCTCATGGATCATGAATAAAAAATTATCAAAACTTAACATATGTATGAATATTAAGAGTAATATTTATACTTGATTAACCCGTTATAAGAATACTACGTAGAATGTTATTCAAAATGTCATAAGTTATTCTCATGGTGAAATATGGTGTATACCATCCTTCGATCTGAAACCACAATAGACCCTAAATATAGAGTCGAGTACTATATTGTTGATCAAAAGTTGTCTGTAATTGGATAACTATAAAGACAGTTGATGGGTACTCTAAAAATCATGTCGAAGGACATGAGTGACCTAGGTGAAATTTGTAACACCCCGTTTCCCAAAAATAAAATAAATGCAATTTAAATCAAAATTATTAGAGTTGTCACACCAAAACGGGATATCACAAAAGAAAACTCCAACAGAACGCTTCATTAAATGAATTCAACAATTAACAGCGGAAAATGTCATATATATATATATATATATATATATATATATATATATATATATATATATATATATATATATATATATATATATATATATATATATATATATATATATATATATATATATATATATATATATATATATATATATATATATATATATATATATATATACATACATACATACATACATATATACATCATATTCGGCCACCCGTCCAAAATATACAAAACATCATCAATGGATCCATCAAAGCATGATACGACGCGGATTAAAAACAAAACCATCAGCTAAACAATAAACTCCCCAAAACCCTGTGTTACGTATCAGAGCTTCCCTACGACTCGACTCTCCACTATCCAAGCTAGCTACGCACCTGGATTATTTGTACTTCCGAAGAAGCACAGACCACAACAACAACAACAACAACAACAACAACAAGGGGTGAGAAATCATGATCAAGATATAGCGGTAATAATGTACATGGATTAAAAGGTAGTAACTAATGCAATTAGCATTCAACATACATCAATCCAGACCTACTGTCCAACACCAACACAGCACACAAGCCAATGCAACCATATGCAACACAACATGATATGTGGTACCGACTCACTGGTTCATTCAATCGAACCCGGATAGATCACATACACCCACCAATGGCAACGATTTATCCCCACTATACTCCCCTTCGGAGTACGGGCAATCAAACCCGGATAGATCACATACACCCACCAATGGCAATGATCTATCCTCACCAAGCTCCCCTTCGGAGTACGGGCAATCAAACCCAGAATAGATCACATACACCCACCAATGGCAATGATCTATCCCTATCATGCTATGCACACACCAATGCACAACAACAATCCAAGCACACAAGGTGCACACGATCCATCCGATCACATCACCCAGCATCATATATATTACACAACAAATAAACACAAGCACACTAAGTGCACAACAATTAACTCAAGTAAATAATCAATAAATCATCTCAATAGATCCACGGTTTAGTTAATATTTACTTAAACAATGACTCCCCAAACATATTAGATATAAAAATATCTGGTAAATAATTATATTTTCTATACTATGTTATAGATCTATTCACTAGCTTTCTAACGCTTCGAACGGGGACTAAAACCAACTTACGGATTAAAAGTTATGGCCAAAATCGTCGGAACAGAAATTTCCAATTTTCAGCTTTTATACAGCATGCAATCGATTGATGTATTAGTGCAATCGATTGCTTGACTCAATTTTTCACATTTTAGCCACTATTTTGATGTGCAATCGATTGCTTACTTGGTGCAATCTATTGCTTACAGCACCAGACTAACATTCCACGACTTAGCTACAAAATCTATTCTAGATTCTACCCAATAAAACATCAGCTCTACTAATTTAATCATTTTCGGCTTAAAATTGCAAACTACTCGAAACCTCCCAAATCATCTGAACAATTACTCTACCATCACATGCAACAAGTTCAACATATCAGTAACCATTCAGAATCACAACAATATCTCAATTATGTTCATCAAAATCTATGGGGTTAGGGAAATCCCCTCTACGTAGAATTCATGCAACATACCGAATTCGACTCGTTCCCCCCATCCCCCCCCCCCCCCCCCCCCCCCCTTACCTCGATAACTCGATCAGATGCTGAAAACTCTTGAAGAATCATAAATCTTGGCCTCCTCTTTGATTCTCCTCTTCACTCTTGTTTTTGTTCTTCTTCCTCACTCTTCTCCCAATAAACCGTGTTCTTCTTTTTCCTCCCTTTCCAAACTCACAAATACCCCTTATAACCCTTAAATCCTTATTTCTTTTATTCCAATAATAATAATAGTAATAATAATAATAATAATAATAATAATAATAATAATATTACTATTAAATTTCAAATTACTATCATTATTAATTATATTAATATTAAACTCCAAAATTATTAAATAATCTCCACAAAGACACACTGAAAATAGAATAACATCATAAAGGCTAAATAATTAAAAATGGGTGTTACAGAATTTGTCCATCCTACAAACAGGATAAATGTCTAAGGGTGATTGGAGCGGCGTAACTCCTCCATAGCAACACACATCTCTGCTAACATTTTTTGGTTGTTATGGTGACGCTCTATCGTGTCACCATGCAGAAAAGGGTGGATGAAGCGGTTGAAAGTTGGTTTTGATTATAGTCTACGTTAGTTTTATTGAGACCTCGCGGTGCCCGCCAATTATACTTGTGAAATACAATAACGGAAGAGTGTGTTCACGTGTTTGATAGTGAGAGACTTTGTACCAAAGTTTGATGAAATTAGTAAATCCATCTTCAAATTTTAAAATTGGAGTATTTATTGAAGGTTCCTTGAGCCGAGCAAGAAGGATAGAAATTGTTTTCCCTAGCTTCTGACAGATACGAAGGAGTAGGGGAAGACTGGTTGTTCCTCAATTCTTGAAGGAACGATTTTTTCCTTTGACTATCATTCTTAAACCAATATCCCTTAGACAACTCATAGTTCATGTATGATAAAAGAGTAGAGTGTGGATCTGAGTTTGGGTTGGGCTTAGACGACTTGGAGTGCGCCTGCCCAGTGTTCCGGAGCTTCAATTGGCCTGACTTACCATTTTAATATACTTTTTACTCTTTTAAAATGGAAACCACTAGGATTCCAATAGAGCTTCTTTACTACACCACTTTTTGAGTTATTGCAGATTCCACTCACGAAAGCAATAACACACCAACCCCATTTTTAGCCTCCAATTATTATTCATTCATTCTTATTACAAATCAATACTGTATGAGTGAGTGAGTGAATGATAATGGATGATTCCAGTGACCTGTTTCCCATCGGAATGCGTATTCTTGCAGTAGACCATGATCCCACTTGCCTTCAAGTTTTAGAAACTCTTCTCCGAACATATCAATACCATGGTCTGCTTTTTTCCCCAGATTCGTATCTGTTTTTTTTTTCCTGCTGTTTTTCGTGTTCATGCACAATTTCATGTCCAAATTATGTGTATAATGTCTGATGATAGTAATTCATTCGGTGTTGCAGTAACCACGACTAATCAAGCAATAACGGCATTGGCTATGTTGCAAGAAAACAACGACAACTTTGACATGGTAATCATTGATGTGCACACACCAGACATGGATGGATTTAAGCTGCTTGAACTTGTGGGACTTGAGATGAACCTTCCTGTCATAAGTAAGTGCTGTTCATCTTTTTTTCTTTCTATTTCTTCATTTCGTCTCTAGTTTATTAGTTACTGCTATAATTGTTAATCAATTATTGTTTGGTAAACCTTTGTTGTTAAAAAATGTTTGATTTCAGTGTTGTCTGCATGTCGTGATCCAAACCTAGTGATGAAAGGAATTTCCCACGGTGCCTGTGATTATCTGCTGAAACCTGTGAGATTAGAGGAACTAAACAACATTTGGCAGCATGTAGTTAGGAGTTGTTTGGTCTGTCGAATTGCACCGCAAGTTTGTCGCTGCTGTTAATCATCTAGGCATTGACAGTATGTTTTATTGTTCTTCACTCTACCAACAATTCAAGTACATCTTTTGTATCTTATCAATATTTTGTATCTCATGATTCATGATGATGTTATTTTTTTTGGCAGAGGCTGTACCAAAAAAAGTACTCGATACGATGAATGTCGAAAATATTACAAGGGAGGATGTGGCTAGTCATCTCCAGGCATTTTTCTAGTACTTTAGTCTTTAGTTTAAATTGTTTAGTATAATTAAATCATTTCATTTCACTCAATGTTTCTTGTTTATGAAATGGTTGCAGAAGTATAGGCTTTATCTGAAAAGAATTAGCTGTATTGCAAACCAAGAAGCTAGTATAGTGCCAACCTTGGATACAGGTGAAGCTTGATGGATTGGCTGAGTTAACTGAATGCTGATGATATCGTAAGCCATCAGCAGTTTTCTAATACTCTTGGTTCAGTAGAATACTTGGAGGGTTCAATGATGGAACAGGTAATAACATTTGTGAAAATTAATGAGTTTTTTTCCATAGATGATGAATATTTAGGATGTTATGGATGGAAAGCTTGGTTGAAACTGCTTTGATGGTAATGGGGCTGTGGTGCATGTATTTGTTTTCATTATTTGTTGTAATAATTTATGTTTAACTAAATTGGCATTCACTAATAATATTAATATTAAATAATTGATGTAGAGATAACTTTAGAATAAAAATATTATATCTGTTTAATTTTGTTGACATTAGTTCAGGTCAAAAAATTTAAAAGACAACTTATAAAATGACTTTACTAATCTCTTTTGATTCAATATATATTTTCCTTTTGGGCTTATTATGATGCTTGCTAGTTCTGCAGTAGTTTTCTTTGTATATGAAGCAGCTGATAACACTCCTGAAGAGGTATATTTCATGTGGTGGTTCATAAATTCTATCATGGACAAGAATCAGAATTTTGCATAAATTGATTCTAACTATTTCATAACATGATATTTGGATCGTCTACAGTGGTGTTACTGGGGTAGCTTCTCTCCATATAAATTTGCATTTGCTTCAGTGGCTTGGGGATGTGAGGGTTTTGGAGTCAATTTTGGAGGCATCAATCCTCGATTTTTCAGTAGTTTTTATGTTCAGAGATTTGTTCAGTGGATTATCGACAGTTGAATAAGGTCACTATCAAGAACCGGTATCCTCTTTCAAGGATAAATGATCTTATAGATCATCTTATGGAAGTGTATGTGTTTATCAAGATTGATATGAGGTTAGTGAAGGTGAGAAAAATACACAAAAATGGGGGGATGAATTATGTTTTGCAAAAGTTAGATTTACTTCTGAACCAGAGGTTAGATTCTAAAACTGAGTTCAGAATCTGATAAGGTGCAGCGGAAATAAAGACAGAAGTATAGTAAAATATCAAAGAACACACAGTAGTTATCATGGTTCCTCTCCCAATTGAGAGTACTCAAGTCCCCCTGCCAAGTAAGAGATTTTCCACTATAACAAACCAGATTACACTTGTTTATACACACTTGTATAAGACTTTTCTTTTTACTGAGACCACTTGTTCAAGACTCCCCTTGCTTAGAGCTCGCGTCTAAGACTTTACTCTGCTCAATCAGCTCCGGACCGAGACTTCTCTTGCTTAAACCTCCTGCCTAAGACTTCACCTTGCTTAGAGCTCGTGTCTAAGACTTTTACCTTACTTAGAGCTCGTGCTTAAGACTTTTACCTTTCTTAGAGCTCGTGTCTAATACTTTTACCTTTCTTAGAGCTCGTGTCTAAGACTTTAACCTAAACAGCTAGTTTAGAGAAGAAATAACTTACAAAAGAAAAACATTTGATAAAATATAAGAGGTGTTCAAGTAATACAACACAATATTATAAAGATTCTTAATCAACACAAGAGTAAGAACTCTTAACAGACTCAACACGTGTATATCTTAGTTTGTATTTGCAACATTATTTCTTGATTGATCTTCAAATCTTCAGCTCCTTTTTATAGCCAAGGAAAATAAAGACTTTGAGATCATAAACGGCTAAAAATAGAACCAAATCTTCTAGTACATATTCTTTTCAAATAAAGCAAGTGTTGGGACTTTCAATCACAAGAGTATACGTGGAACAAGGCATTTGTCAAGAGGATACAACTCCGATTCAAGTACAACACAACCTGTAGAAGATAATGTCAATAAATCTAGAGTCTCGTGTTAGCAGAACTGATATGACATTACTCAGCATCAGAGGCAGCATAGCAGGCTTCTGAGTTGAAGTGTACTAGCATCTTCTTTTTTGATCATACATCCTTGCAAGAGTGTGACTAGAACCGAACCAAAGTCACTTCAGTGTCAGAACTAGTTCCATCAAGTAAATATAATCCTGCACACACAAACAGCCTAGTTAGAGATCCTAATTTTTTTTCAAATACTTTGTTATCATCAAAACCTTGGAGGATTCATGGCATGAACCAAACTTGTTTCAACAGACAGGATACCATCAAATTAGAGTGAAGGCATAAGATATTCCTAAGATAGCATTCAGGACATGTTATGGCTATTATGAGTATGTGGTTATGCCTTTCGCTGTGTCTAATGCACCAAGAGTATATAAATAGGATTTTTCACCCTTATTTAAATCAGTTTGCCTTGGTGTTTATATATGATACTTTGGTGTATTCCAAGTCATATGAAGAACATGCATAACATCTGAGAGGTGTGTTGCAGACCTTAAAAGATAATAAGTTGTATGATAAGTTTTCCAAGTATAAATCTTGGTTAAGAGAGGTGATTTTCCTTGGTCAAGAGTTTTCTGAGTTTGGATGGTTATTATAGGAGATTCATAGAAGGTTTCTTGAAGTTGGCTTTTTCCCATTACGCAGTTGGCCTGGAAGGGTCAAGCTTATGTGTGGGATGTTCAGTGTAAATAGAGTTTTCAAGAGCTCAAGAAAATGTTGTCGTTCACGTTAGTCTTGATTCTACCAAACCCAAGTGAATCTTTTGTGGTTTATTGTGATGCATCTAAACTGAAATTGTGTGGCATACTTATGCTGAAGGGTCCAGTGGTAGCTTATGCTTCTAGAAAACTCAAGACCCGTGAAAGGAATTATCCTACCCATGATTTAGATTTAGCAGTAGTAGTTTTTGTGCTTAAGGTCTAGAGGCATTACCTTTTGGGTCGAGGTTTGAGGTTTTCAGCGATCATAAGAGTCGAAAGTATTTTTTCGAACAGATGGAATTGAATATGAGGCAAAGAAGATGGTTAGAATTTTTGAAAGATTATGACTTTGAGCTTAACTATCACCCTGGAAAAGCTAATGTAGTGGCGGATGCGTTAAGTAGAAAATCAATGCATATGTCGACGTTAATGGTTGAAGAGATGGATTTAATTGAGAAATTCAAGGATTTAAGTTTGGTATGTGAGATAACACCAAGAAATGTGAAGTTGGGTATGTTGAAAATAACTAGCACTGTACTAGAAGAAATCAAGGAGGGCCAAAGATTGGGTTTGCGTTTGATAGCCCAATTGGTAAAAAAAAAACCAATCAAAAGAATGGAATGGACTTCAAAATGGATGATAACTAGGTTTTGAGGTTTCTGGACAGAGTTTGTGTATCGAGCGTATCGGAACTTAAGAAAAGGATTTTGGAAGAAGATCATAGGAACGGTTTTGAATATTCACACAAGGGACACAAAGATGTATTAGGACCTTAAGAAGATGTTTTGTTGACTAGGTATGAAGAAAGATGTGGCATAATTTGTATAATCTTTCTTGACTTGTTAGAAATCAAAAATAGAACATCATAAGCCATCTTGATTTATGCAACCTTTGAGTATTCCTAAGTGGAAGTATGACAGTATCTCCATAGATTTTGTGATGGGTTTTCCTAAGACCACTAAAGGGAGTGATTCGACATGGGTTATAGTGAATAGGTTGACTAAGTCGGCTCATTTTACTTTGATAAAGATCAATTACTTGTTGCAGAAGCTAGTCGAGATTTATATAGATGAGATAGTGAGATTACATGGGATTCCCTCCAGCAAATTTTGGATAAAGATCTGAGATTTACATTGAGATTTTGGGAAAGTTTTCAAGAGGTGTTGGGAACCAAACTTAGGTTTAGTTTTGCTTATCATCCACAGACTGATGGTCAAACGGAGAGAAATATCTAGTCCTTGGAAGATCTGTTGAGAGCTTGTGTCCTAGAGCAATGAGGTAGTTGGAATAGTTACTTGTTGCTGATTGAGTTTACCTATAACAATAGTTTTCATGCTAGTATCATAATGGCACCTTTTGAGACCTTGTATGGTATGTGGTGTAGGATACCCTTGTATTGGTATGAATCGGGTGAAAGCATTGTGTTAGGACCTGAAATAGTACAACAGACTACCGAATAGGTTAAGATGGTTCAGGAAAATATGAGGGCATCGCAAAGCAGACAGAAGAGTTATCATGACAAGCATAAAAAAGTTCTCGAATTTTAAAAAGGAGATCGTGTTCATGAAAGTCACTCTAGTAATTAGGGTTGGACGAGTGTTACCAAATACATGTTTTTTAAAAACTTTTTTTCTCATCATCAAGAAGTCTAAATATTTTTTGACATAATCAAGATAAAGGGGTGAATGCAATCATTTTTAAAAATAATAGTTAGAATATAATTAATATTGTAAATAATATCCTGTGAGACATTGGATCGAACTCTAGTGTGGTCGAAGTCTGTTCGCAAGTAATGCGTGTTGTAGTCGAAGTTTGTTCTAACATGCATGAGTAAATATTGCTAAGGTTGTTAGCATGAGTAAATATTGCTAAGGTTGTTAGCATGAGTAAATATTGCTAAGGTTGTTAGCATGAGTAAATATTGCTAGGGTTGTTAGCATGTTGAATTGGGTCTTGCTTGTAAGCCCAATTGTTTAAGTTAGCTTGTACCCTAAGTTAGCTTGTAATGGGTAATTGTTAAAAAGCCCATTAGGTTAGTTTGCTATTTTATTATAAATAGGATGCTAGTTTTTCAATCTTGGCATAAGAAAAAATAGGAAGATAAAATCCTAATTTCAAGGGAGAGAGGTTATTTTGTTATTCTTGTATACTTGTAATCTTGTTCTAAGAGAAAGGAAAGAATAACAGTTTAATAACCAATCCTTGTTGTTCCTTGTTGTTTTACCTTGTTTTCTTTGTTAACCCTAACCCTTGTGTGTTTCTTGATCATTAAGAAACCGTTTATACTTTGTTTGAAGGTATCTGATTCACAACAAATTGGTGCGGTGAGCGTGGAAAAGATGCCTTCAACAAAGTATGAGATTGAAAAGTTCACCGGAGTGAACGACTTTGGTCTGTGGCGCTTGAAGATGAAAGCCCTATTGGTTCAGCAGGGTTGTTTGGAAGCGTTGAAGGGTGAGGCG